AAGCCCTTGGTGCTTGCTGCTTTCAGGCAGAAGATCTGGTCCTGCAGGGATCAGCTCTGATCCAGTGGAGTGGGTTCTGTGCTCCATGGGGGTGCTGCTGGAGCCCCTGTGAGGTGGCTGGAGGAGCTGCTGTGTCCTGCTGGCACTCCATGAGCAGGGCCTCTCATGAACTGTGCCTGTTTTCTGGCCAGACTCCATCACCCCCACATCAGGCTGTCAGTTTGTTTCCCTTCTTACCAGTGACTCCTGTTCTACTCCTGGAGCTTCAGCTGTACCTCTCCCTCTGCTTACCACAGGAATGGAATCTTCTGTCTCTCACAGACTGAACTAAAACCTTACATCTTGAATTCCAAGTTCCTAGTCATGTGTGTCATCCAGAGTTCACCAGAAATCTTAGTCTTGCTATTGTCTTCTTTGTTGCTTCCATTTCCCTTTCTGAAGGTGGTGTTGCAATAAATGTTTCGTGTTACCCAGCCCTGTTTCAGACACGGCCTGCTCTGACAGGAACAGGATTTTGTGCTGGTGGTTTTCGGTATGAGTTTGCCAGGGCAGTCTCAAGTTTATCATCCCATCATTTTGCTTTCCACTGCACAGTTTCATCTTCATGTACTCTTCTGTCATCTTCAGTGTTAATGGTGTGAGACTTGTGACTTGGGATCATCTTCATAGGAACAAACAACTTTTGGTACAACTACAGTTGTTTTATAGTTTTACACTCAAAACTGTGAGTTTTGAGTGTAAAGTTTTGAGTTTTACTGAGGCTGTGGCAAATCAGATGATCACCAGTTGTTCCTTATTCTGACACTGTAATCTCGGTGGAAATCCACTGACTGTGAGGGGATGGCCATACTGCAGAGGCTGATATAGAATGGAAATGTTGTGAGAACACTGGTGAATGTCAAGCTCTGAATCCTTGTTTTAAGAACTGGCCTCTCTGCTCGCTAGCTGGAAGCTTGCAGGCTGTGAGCTCAGCTCGACTCTCCTGGCAGAGGGGAGGTTTCACCTACTCCCTGTAGTGAAAGAAAGGCAGGAATCAGTGCTGTGCTTCCTGCTGTACAGAGAGGAAGAATTTCTGCCCACCAAAGAGCAATGTGATTAGTCTTAAATGGTGGATGTGTACAGACACCTCCAAATGGGACACTGGGCTGTGCCACCCCTGACCTGAGCTGCTCTGTCCCTTTCCTTGTGTCCCAGCTCTCTGGTGCACACGGCATGGACTGATGTGGGGTCTGGGCTTGGAGTGGCCTGGGAATAACGGGGGATGCCATCATTATTAGTTCCTCGCTGCTTGTGTCTGATGTCTCCCTTTGCTGCTGTCTGAGTCCTTTGACACTTCTCTGCTGCAGGAAAAGCAAGTGTGTGGCATCTGTCTCCTGAGATAGTTCCCAGCCCCACTTATCTCAGCCCCTGACCCTCACACCCGCTGGCATGGCCACCCCACGTCAGTGCCAGCTTCTGGTCGGGGCTGATTCTGCTCTGCGCTGTGGACTTTGGATCCTCCAAATATATTTGTCAACACTATGCAGTTTAACATCATTTTTACAATTGTCATGTTGTATATTTAGCATAATTTATGTACTGCAGTTCTTGCAAATAACTGGTGTACAGGGAGATTCACCACATCAACTGTGGATATGCTCACATGGGGTTCTCTGGTTTTTGGAAATTGTGTGCTATTTTAGGTGGAAAGTTATTTGAATTTGCTGTTTCTGAATGTATGTTCTTCTGTCATCTGTTACAGGAGAACATAGTTATATTCAGGTGTGATAGTAATGTAAATAGTGTAGGGGAGATATTTCTTTATTGTGATGTTGCTATGTTAATTGGGTACAAGAAGTAGTCATATTCATATTTTCTGGGTTCATGGTTGCCTTTCTCTCTGCAAGTTATATTTTTCTGCCTGGTTTCACTGTAATCTTCTGCTGTTTTACTGTCCCCTTACCTTGTTTGTGTTTGTTTCCTTTCTTCTCTTCGTTGTTACCTATTTCTTAGAGACCAAACGAGAGGCTTAGCACACTCTCTGAGAAACCAAGGGAAGATGCAGTGTTGGAAGAAGCCCCGGTTAGTACATGCACCAATTAACACTTTTGGAACTTAGTGAATGTCACTATTTCTGGACTGTTTCTTCCATTGATTCTTTATCTGATAAATCAGTTGTAATTTCTTTTAAACTCTCATTGTTCTCATTGCTGCACCAATGCATCTCTTATTGTACTGGATTTATTGCTTTATTTTATCCTAGAAGCAGTATTTTTAATCAGCTTAGGAAGCAGAATCGTTTTTGGGGGGGGTGGAAGTTGCTCTTTTGTGTCTCAGTTTGTCGGTGATGTTGTTACATAAATCCCAGCTGTGTGCAGCTCCTTTCTTTCATGTTTCTAAGAAATGTTTTTCTCATCTTGGACTATCAGACCACAGGGATCTCTGAGAGAACAACAAGTCCCTGTGGATGGTGTGTGCATCTCCAAGTGCTCTCAATCCTCTCCCGTGGCTTTAACCTGGTGTTTCCTTTGCAGGTGCAGCAGCTCGTGCCGTCCCTTCCAGTGCAGGTCACCCACGACGTCAAGTTCCAGGTTGGGGATCTGGTTTGGTCCAAGGTGGGGACGTACCCGTGGTGGCCTTGCATGGTGTCGTGTGATCCGCAGCTTGACGTGCATACCAAAATTAATACAAGAGGTAAGGGAGGAAGCTCTTTGCCAGAGTGTCAGGTGTCTGTAGCTGTTCCTTTGTTAAAAATACCTTCATTCTAAACTGCCTTTGCGGTGTGAATTCTGCTCTGTGTGTGCTGAACAGGACAGTCCTGACAGGCACAGTACCTGGTACGTGACCTGGGCAGGTGGAGCTGTGGGAATGGGCTTGTGCACTGGTGTTTCTGCTTTTCTCAAATCAGTGTGAGAGTGTTCAGTGTGGGCAAGCTCCTGAACTTCTGTCTTAAACTGTTCTGGATCTGGCCTGTTGTATTTCTGCACTTAAGGCAGGTACCTCCACTTTCAGGAATGGAGTGCTGGGAGGAGGACAGTGTGAGCTGAACAGGCAGAGCGATGTTGATGCAACTGCTGACTGGTGTTTGGTGTTTCAGGTGCCCGGGAATACCACGTGCAGTTCTTCAGCAACCAGCCAGAGCGGGCCTGGGTGCACGAGAAGCGCGTCCGGGAGTACCAAGGGCACAAACAGTACGAGCAGTTACTGGCTGAGGCAGCCAAGCAAGCCAGCAACCACTCTGAGAAACAGAAGGTACAGGGGGCACTGGGGGGATCATCTCTGTAAGGGAGGTGCTCTGGGGCAGGTCTGGAACTCTTCAGTGCTTTGCCCTGGGAAGGACTGGCTGCATCTCGCTAGCAGGGAATTCAGTGTCCACATTCAGTGCCAAAAATACCCCGTAAACGGAGAGCAGACCGCAATCTGCTGCCTGAGAGATGCAGAGACCCTCAGGACTGTGTTTAAGGGCTGTAGTGGCAAAATCTTCAGTGTAACCAAGTGCTTGTCTTGTCCCTTAAGATTCGCAAGCCCCGGCCGCAGAGGGAGCGAGCGCAGTGGGACATTGGCATTGCCCACGCCGAGAAGGCGCTGAAAATGACCCGGGAAGAGAGGATAGAACAGTACACCTTCATTTACGTAGACCAAGAGCCAGAGGAGGCTTTGGCCAAGGCCAAAAAGACTGCTGCTTCCAAATCAGAGGCCAGGAAGAACCGGCGGCCGAGGCCAGCGCCGAGCACGCAGCCGGAGCACGCCGGCGGCGCGGCAGGGTCATCGCCCTCGCACGTCGAGGCGCGCAGGCTGGGCCAGCGCCGGCAGCCCAGCCTGGAGGAGGAGGAGGCACCACCTGTGAAAATCGCCTGGAAAACAGCTGCAGCTAGGAAGTCCCTACCAGCTTCCATAACCATGCACAACCTGGATCTGCAAAAGTGTAACATGTCTCCAGTTGTTAAAATTGAACAGGTTTTTGCCCTTCAGAATGCTGCTGGGGATGGAAAACTCATCGACCAATTTGTTTATTCCACCAAGGTACATGTTTGGTGCAGTGACCCCTCCTTTGCTCCAGAGTTATCCCGAGCCTGCCTTACCGGGGAACTTCAGCTGTGTCCACCAAGCTTTCACCATCCATGTTCCTTTCATTGGAGAGATTAACAGACAGATGTGACAATAGAATCTTTCAGTGCAGCTCTGGCAGTAACTTTGCTGGTGGCAGAGCAGCTCCCTACAGATGGCCATATTTTTGTTCATAACACGTTAAAAATATTAAAGCTGTTTAACTTCAGCTTCCTAGTTGAAATAATTCCAAAATTCTTGATAAAATCAGTGGTTTTGTGGGAAACAGATGAGAAAACTGTTAATATTGTACTAAAAAGTAATAACTACATTTTGTGTAACAGACTTCTAAATTGAGTTCTGCCTCTGAGCTTCCTTCAGGTGTACAGCAGCTTCCCACAGTCAGTGTTAAGGAAAAGGCTTAGGACTATTTCTCTGCCTCCTTCTTCTGCCTCTCTACCTGGAGAGTATTTATTTCATCCTAAGCCCTATAGAGAAGGTAATGTTTAGAAAAGTCACTGGAATTATGTTTTCCTTGTGTGTAAGGGGAGATCGAGAGGGGTGGAAAGTTCTGCAGGGAAGCAGCTCTGTAGTAGATTAATCCTGTGCGTGTGTTGGGTTGGAGAGCATTGATTTTTTCTGTTCTGAAATTCAGGGGCAGGTCTGTTACCTGGTAGCAACACACCTTTATAACAGGGGAAGACAATCGTTTCCTCTTTTCTTTTCAAGGGAGTTGGTAACAAAACAGAAATAAGCGTCAAAGGACAAGAGAAACTTAATTCTTCATCAGCTCAGAGAAGTGAAAAAGCAGTGGTGCAAAACACATCCTCTCCTGAGACGACTTCTGGGGCAGCAGGTAGGGAAACAGCAGTCCTGGTCTGAACCTGAGCCCTCAGCATGAAAATTCAAATATCAAACCCAGCATTTTCTCATTACTTAAAAATGATTAACATCTTTCTGTTTACATAATAATTGTACTGAGCATGGCTGGTGTCACACATGGTGAGCCAGCACACACAGCACGGCTTGGGGGGGGATTGGTGGTTTGGCCTCTGAACTTTGTCTGCAGCTTACAGCCCGAGTCATCAGGGGATGATGTCCTGTGCAGAGCAATGGCAAGTTGGTTTAGAAGACAACCCAGTGGATGTGTGTTAGCAGGGTATTGCCATGGCTTTTGGCCTCAAATGTAAAGTACAGGAGCTGTGGTGAAAGCAAAAGAGTCAGGAGTGGCACATTTCAGTAGGGAATGTCTGAGTCAGGGTGGAGACTCCCTAGGCTTTGTTGCTGAGTTTTTGCATGACCTGTTAAAGAACAGGGATTTTTAAAAAACTGCTTCAACTAACTCCACCGACCAAATGAGGTAGTGCTTGTCTTCTGAAGCCATCTCAGGGGGCACATCATAAAGCACTGAGTTTTGAAATATCAGCTCTGAGGGAGAAGAACCACTGAAGCAAATAACAGAACTTGGGCCTGAAATGGGAAAACCTTGAATGAGCTATTTGAATTTCATAATGTAGCCAGGTGTCACTTCTGCTTCAACTATCCATCTATTTGATTATTTCTCCCTTTCCAAGCATGAAATAGATGAGAACCAGAGTCAGAAATCTCAGTGGACAGCATCCATGAGTCCTGCAAACACGCTTCAGGTTCTGTCTGTGTGATGGTTTTAGGCAGGGTTATTTGATGTGTCGGTTTATGGAGTGTTTGGGACTGCAGCACTCGGCCAGGCACTCCGGATTTCCTGCTGTGAGTGAGGATTCCCCTGCTGTTGACAGCGGTGGTTCTTCCCAGCTGTGGTTGCTGTGGCTACTGGAATTGCCTTGCAGCAGGAGAAGCCATTGCCGTTCTGCTTCTCTCACCTGGGATCTAAAGGCTTCAGCTTCCCTATGGCTCCTCAGATGTAGGGGGTGAGAATTCTGAGCCTCTCTTTTTTCGTTTTCTTAGGCTTTTTGGATACGTAACACTCCACCTGCTAACACGCTGTAAGTGCCTGAGCTTACCTGCAGTGCACACTCCAGTCACTCTCAAAGCCATTCCCAAAGTCCAGTTATTGGTCCCCTCTTGTGGAACATAACTGCCAAGTCCTTTTTTCAAATGTAAGGTCAGTGGAACTTCAGAATCCCTTTACGGTAAAGTATTTGCCAGTCTGACTCTGGGAGTCCTTATTGATAACCTGCAGTCAGATGCCCAGAATTCACTAATGCTGGAAAGATAAGTCCCTTAATTGAAATCTGCAAGTGCAGCCCTGAGAATCCCTGCTGCTTCTGGCCTGCAGACACTGAACTAGGATTTATCTCAAGCGAGGTGGAGGGCTGGTCCAACATCTGTCCTGAAACTTTGGATGAAAATATACCTGAAGATGGAATGGGAGCATTGTGAAGGTGATGACTGGATCCTTGGAAAGCAGGAAGAGGAGAAGGTGCCCATTGCAGTGGTCAGTGTTGCTGTCAGCCAACATTAGGCACTCTGGTTCTGGAATTCTCTGATCCAGGGCTTGATCTTATCTCCTTGGCTTCAGTGGGGGCAGCACAGGGAGAAAATCCATTCTTGGTTAAAGTAACTGTTGGTCACATCTGAAGCTGCTTCAGGGGATTTTGGTCATACAGCAAAGTGACAAAAGATGTTCCCCAGCTCTGATGTGGTGACCCACTGCAGCTGTGGGAGTTCCTCGTGGCATGGGGCCTATTGGAACCAGAAGTTACACGTGGACAGACATGATGGATGTTGACCCGAGTAATTAATTTCTAAATGATTAATAACTAATTGCTATTATTCATTAATTCATATGCTGTAAAAGTTCTTTCCCTTGAAGAAAAAGAATTTTTCCCCTCAGAAATCCAATTGTTGTAACACAATAACTTTTCCAGCTGGATAGTTCAGTTACTGAGACATTCCCGAGCCATGCAGCCATGGGAAAAATGCTCATCCAGTGGACCAAGAGGAGTTTTCATTTTTTTCTCTGAAGTCCTTTTGCAAGGCTGTCTTTCAGTCTGGTTCGAGCCCGTGTGTGTCTCTAGATACTTGATCTACTGACAAGACCAGGCAGGTTTACAGCTCCTAACAGTGCATCCATCTGGCTCAGTCAGCTCCCAGGAGTTTGCAGTTTTGCTTGGAAGAAAACAAAGTACTTCACAGTTGTGTCCTCTTTAGGTGAAACCTCCCGGACTGAAAACCCAGAATAATGTTTCCCAGCAGCTCACTGTAAATCCTCAGGTGCCAGTTTTCTGTCAGCTCCAAGTGTGTGCTTGTTCCAACAGCTGCCCATGGTGTTGATTGTCATGTCTGTGGCTCTCAGTGTGCCTTTTTGGGAGGTGCTGGACCACAGAAAGGTCTTTAGATTTTGCTAGCCTTAGTTGCCAAAAACCCAGTAGCTCCCTCTTCATCTGTTGAAATGTCACAATAACCTTCATTAATCTGAGGGTTTTTTCTATGGTAATACTTTTAAAAACCTGATTTTCACATTCATTAATGACGGTAACACATTGTGGTCGATGCTTCTGTTTGTGCGGAGTTTTTCTTCACCTCAAAACCTTCAGGTGAGCATTGAGGTCTGGTGTGGCTGCAGGAGGTACAGGGTGAGGCTGGCTCCAGTTATGTGACAGAGGCTGTCACCCCACAGAGGGGAGCACAGGTCTGGCATTTTGGGGGAAATCCTGGAGCTGTGCTTTGTGAATGAAATTTCTAGTTTGTTTTTGTTCAAGGAGTTGGTTGTGGCTACCTTCCCAAAACACCAAAGATGGACTGTTTGGTTCAAAATTACCCAAGTGAAGACTGCCTGAGAGGTGTGTTACGGATTATGGAAATCTGTTTGCCCTAAGCTGAATTCCAGCCTTTTGTTCCACTCCTGTTACTTGTGCCTGTTTTCTGAAGCTGATCTGTCTCTGGAATCAGAATGTGTGTCTGCAGCCACCGCACCAGCTGGTCAATAGCTTGGAACTGAATTTAAAAATAAAATATTCAAAAGAGGACAAAGTCTTGGTTTCATTCCTTTACCTCTTGTTTTGATGCTGCACATCTTGGTGTACCTCAGAAATACAAGGAATCATATAATGGAAACCTTTTTCCTTCTTCAGGTTCTGTAGAAAAGAAGCAACAGAGAAGATCGATTCGAACCCGCTCTGAGTCTGAGAAATCTGCCGAAGTTGTGCCAAAGAAGAAGATCAAAAAGGAGCAGGTTGGCTTCCTCCATGTAGAGAGTTAAAATATATTGTATTCATAAATGTTGTGGCTTATATTGGTGCCTTTTTATTTTTCTCCATTTTTCCCCATCGGGTTTCGGTTTGGACTATCCTCCATGAAATCCCCCTGTCAATGCCATTGCTGTGACTCTGCTACTGGCATCTTCTCAGTATCAGTCAGGCTATGGAAGTGGGAACGCAGTGATGGATGACTCCTAATGAACCTGCCATGTTTCCTTTGAGATTTCTGTTCTGAGCAAAATGGGTTTGTTTCAGTGATTTCTCTTGGATGGAATTGCCGCCAGGTTCCTTCCTTTGGCTCTTGATTTAGCTGCTGGTTTGTGTTGAGGTTTTGTTTTTCAAATGAAGTTAGAGTGATTAATTTGACCACTTCTGAAAATGGACTTCAAGAATGATTTCACTTAAAGATGAATAGTCAGACTTTCATGTTGGCAGACATCAGTAAAACAGTTCTGGAATATACCATTTTTTCCTGAAACAGTTCTCACGTGTACAGGGCATTCCTTTAATCTGGATGTTAGATAGACAAATGTTGTTGCTTTAAAAAACTTTTAATGATAAAAGATTTCTGCATGGAAATGAGTAGGAGAGTGCAGTGGATGGACAGAAATACCAAAACCTGCACACACTTTTAACAAGTTTGTCAAAGTTGTTGGTTCTTCTCTTGCATGGTTGATTTTTCCCTCTTCAAGGACCTCTGTCTGAAAGCTGCGAACTTTTATATAAATGTTTCATAGTTTAGCTTTTCCCAGAGAAAAAGAGAATTTTTAAAGAGGAACAGTCAGGATGAAGATTTATATGGGAAGGGGAAAATATTTTTATGTCTTTAATTTATTCTTTGCCCTTTGCGCTTTGTTTTGCACTTCCTTCACTTCAGAGACTGAAAGTGAACTCAATTGCTTTTTTGGGTTTTTTTTCCCCTTGTTTTTCCTTTGATGCTGCAGCATTTCTGCACTGCTGTACAGCAGAGGAGTGCTCCAGCTCGAGGCAGTTTCTTGCTAAAACTTTAAAGCAATTTAAGTGTTGGGTGTGTGACACCTGATGTGGTCCATGGAGCCTCTTGGCACGAGCTGTTGCAGCCTCCCCCTTTCAAAAGAGTTGTTTTATATTTGTAAAGGTTTCTTAATTTAACAAAGGTATAAGAACCAACAAGATGAACTTCATGGATGCCAGGTAGCTTCATGTGCTTCTCTGACCTGGCTGACTCAGTCTGTGGACATTAATTAAAGTGCTTTTCTCAGGAGAGGTGTCTGACTAAAGTGAAACCCAGGGGCACTGTAATGCGCAAAACCTTGAATGTATTAAGTTAAATTCAAAAAAAAGAAAACTTAATAACTTCTTACAATTATGCAACAATATTTGTTACCCAAAGTCAAGTTTTCTTGATTCCCCAGTTAGTCTGCAACAACTTGGTATAGAATTATAACTGGAACGAGTACAATTAATGGGAAAAACAAAATGTTGATGCTACTGTTACAGTGACTAGTGGAGAAATAAAAGTGATTGTTTAGATTTTATATTTGTATTACAAAATGTATCCTATACAAATCCTTCTACTGTATGTTTTTACCTATTGTACAACAAAATAAAATATTTTTTAAAAAAATTATAGAATAATCCTTAAATATTTACTAAATGTGTTTTTCCATGCATATGTAACCACATTGCAAAGAAGTAACTTGTAATTCTTAAGGTTGAAAACAGGATTTTAGGCAACAGCTTTCTTCTGTAAATATCCAGTCACCAAATTCCCACATCTTCCATGTATGTTGGCAGAACAGTTCCTAAACTTCTCCCTAGGGTCAAGGACTGGAAGTGCTTTTGCAAGGTTGTAAACTTTTACATTTGGCTGCTGAAGTGCTGTGCCCTCGAGTTCCAGCTGTGTAGAGCCCTGCACCAGGGCGCCCGGGCGGGCCCGTGCAGAGCTCTAGACGGGGAGGAAGAGCTCCAGGAGCTCCGGGGAGCGCTGCTGGGAGCGGCCCCACACTGTGGCTCAGTAGCCCAGTGCCGGCCCTGCCGGGGCAGGTGTGCTCACACAGGTGTGGGGTTTGCACAGCACCAGGGGTGGCTGCCCCGAGGCCCCCGCTCCTGCCTGCTGGACACGGATACAGCGCTCCTGTCACCTTCGTGCCCCAGGGGAGAGCGGAAGGACCTGGCTGGTGCCCCAGGGCTGCCCCGGCTGCGGGCACCAGCGTAGGCAGGAGTGGATCCAGCGGGACGCGGAGGCTCGGGCTGAGGAGGGGATGGCAGCTCCCACCTCAATTCTAACCCCTTGAACTGACCTGTTTGCTTTTTGGTACTAGGGAGAAACTTTCCTCTGGTGTTAACTGTGCATTTTCCTTTCAAACAGGTTGAAACTGTCCCACTGGCAGCAGTGAAGACGGGGTTGCAGAAAGGTGAGTGCCAGGTGGAAATTCCCTCGACTGAACTCGGTGGTTCGTGGCCCTTGGGCAGCAGTTTTGCTCCGTGTGGGCTGTAATGTTTGGTGCTCTGTAGGGCTGAGCTCGGCTTCCCTGGGGACGGGCTGTGTTTGGGACTCTGGTCCTTGTGCCCTGCTGGGGGTTTGTTCATGGTGTTTGTTCATGTGCTCTAAGCCCCTAAGTCCTTCTGGGCATTTCTTAAAAGTCTCTGCTTAGCCACAGTTAAAGGTGGATGATGAAGAGGAAATCTCCTAAGGATTTATCTTCCCTCAGAGACAATTTATTGCCTTCCTCCACTGTGACACCATGTTCAAAAGTTTGTCAAAAGCTCTGCCTAAGCTGATTTCCAGTTAATTTTCAGGGAGAACTCAACTAGTAACAAAATTACAAACTGAAAATTAAGGCAAATAATGGAATCCAAACTCTCATCTTTCTTTCCTTTATTAAGTTGAAGCAAAAAGTTGAGAACATATATTAAACTAATTTTAGCATGTTGTGTTAAGGTGCCAGTGAGATTTCAGACTCCTGTAAACCCTTAAAGAAGAGAAGTCGTGCCTCCACAGACATGGAACTGACCAGCTCAGCCTACAGGGACACGTCTGACTCTGATTCCAGAGGACTCAATGATTTACAGGTAAAGGTGTGTTGGTTCTCACAGGGACCTGAGCAAGCTGTCAGTGTACAAGAGACTTTTCAGTTCATTATTGCTAAATGTGTGAACACTGTTTTCTACAGACTTTGAGTCTTGTATTGTGTGAAGACATAAAGCCTCTGTTTGCTTCTAATCTGCTCCATTGGTTTGGTATGAAAATACAGTGTTTACTTCCAGATTTTCCTGTTGTCTGGCAAAGCTTTGGTTTAGATCATGGTTTGCTCTGTGGAAGGTTTGAAATTCTTGGGGAATTGGGAGATGCTGCTGTATCTGGTGTAACTCCAAGGAGTGTCTGGAAAAGTAAGATTTTACGGTGTTTGGCTTGTACAGGTGAAGTATATCAAGAAGGCAGCGCTTGTGTCAGCCCAGTGCGGTTCAGCACCTTTCCAGGACCTTTGTGTGTCTCTTGACCTACCAAATGGTCTTTTGATCAACAGTGACAGAAATATTTCCCCCAGTGTGGTTGTCCTCTGGAATTGTCTGGTGTGAGTGCCGTGGGTTTTTCCTCTTTGCAGGGCAGTTTTGGGAAGCGTTCAGACAGTCCCTCGGCCACTGCTGATGCCGATGCCTCAGATGTGCAGTCAGTGGACTCCAGCTTATCCAGGAGAGGAACTGGAGCAAGTAAAAAAGACACTGTTTGTCAGGTAACTGGTGATACTGGGAAGTGCTGGACTAAATATGTATCCCCTACTTCTGTTAGTTCTCATAACTCAGCCTCTCAGATAAAATATCCAGGGTTTTAGGAATTTTTATGTTCTGGAAATGATTAATATTAAATGATTCCTGGGCCCTCCTGCAGGGCAGAAAGCTCAGTAGCTGTAAGGTAATGTTTAATCCATACCTGCCAGCATCAGTAGAAAAAGTAGATGCCATTTTCTGCTCCATTTGAAGATTCACGATGGTTGGTCAGGACAGGGCAGAGTGAGAATTTTTCAGTGTTTTGAAAAAAAAATCCTGGGATCTTCAGTCCAGTTCCTTGGTCAGTAGTAAAGGGCCTGAAGAACAAGATCAGCTTGTTCCTGGGAAATGGAGGGGAGTGCAGGTGGATCCTGTGGTGCCTGTCCTGTTTCTGTCCTGGCTCACGCTGTTTCCCCAGAGCAAGGTGCAGGGAGTGCTGGGATTGTCCTCGGCCTGAGACTTGCCAGGTTCAGTTCTCCTGCCTTCCTGTAATTCTGAAGCAGTTGCAGGCAGTTGCTGTTGTTAGCAGCTGGCAGCCACTGGCATGTCAGGGTACCCTGTTCCTGCTGAGCTTCTCTGCCTCTTGCAGATCTGCGAGAGCTCCGGCGAGTCGCTGCTGGCCTGCGAGGGGGAGTGCTGCAGCATGTTCCACCTGGAGTGTCTCGGCCTGAAGGCCACGCCCGAGGAAAAGTTCATCTGCACCGAGTGTAAGAATGGTGAGTGTGTTCCTGTGCCTGGAAAACTGGGAGGGATTTTCTCTGCTCAGGAGCCACATTTTGGTCAAAGCAAACCAAGATGGTGCTTTCTGAGGATTTCTCAGTAAGCTTGGGTTATTCTGCTGCTTTTTTAACCTCTGAGACCAGATTCTCATTTTTCCTTGTAAGAAAAAAAAAGTAATGAGCTGCTTAGGGTTTTACTTGGAATAAGGGATTTTGATGTGACCACCTAGCTCAGTGTTACTGTGGATCACAGTAACCACCCAGCCTGTCGGATGGGAAGGATCCCGTGTTGCTCACAGTCTGTTGGCTTCAGAATTTGTTGGGACAATATCTGTATGTCAGAGTTGGCTCTTACAGCTGGGATTCCTTACTCCTTCTCTTCCAAGGAGAGCACACGTGCTTTTCCTGCAAGCTCCCTGGCAAGGACGTGAAGCGCTGCTCTGTCAGCACCTGCGGGAAGTTCTACCACGAGGCCTGCGTGCGCAAGTTTGCCACGGCCCTGTTCGAGTCCCGGGGCTTCCGCTGCCCGCAGCACTGCTGCACTGCCTGCTCCATGGACAAGGACATGCACAAAGCCAGCAAAGGTGAGGGCAGCTGCAGCATCACGGTAATGCTTCGTCCTGTTCCACTCCAGCACAGCTCGCGGCAGGGAACCAGGGTTTCCTCCTCACTGAGCTCAGCGACTGAAACAGCTCATGGGTGGGAAGCAGCTGGCAGCCTGACACTGTGGGGTGTACCTGGATCCACACCCTTGGTCAGCTCTTGGTGCTGGGTTTAAGGGAAGCCAAGGGTTCATAATACGAGGCCACTTAAAGACAGTTTGCAGTGGTATTGTGAACAATTATTCTTCAAGGAAAAAGATCCTTTTAGAAATTAACCAAAATGTTTAAACCAAACAAATAGACTCTAGAATGATGGAAGGTTGTTTTAAAGTGAAAGTTAAGGGGTAATATTTGTGAAACGTTTTTGAGAAAAGAGTTATTTCTTTTTTTACCCTGTACTGCCATTGAAATAGACCCAGCCTTGCCTTTGCCTGTGGGGAATTCTGCCCTATCCTGACGTGAGCACCGATTGTCCTTTATGGTCTTTTCCAGCCCGAGTGATGCTGTGCCCCGGGTGACACGTGCCTTTGCTGTGTTTTGTTGAGCAGGTCGCATGGCGAGATGTCTGCGTTGCCCCGTTGCCTATCACTCAGGAGACGGCTGCATCGCTGCAGGAAGCTTGTTTGTGTCATCCCATATCCTCATCTGTAGTAACCATTCCAAAAGGACTCACTCCTCATCAGCTGTAAATGTAGGCTTTTGTTTCGTTTGTGCAAGAGGTGAGACACTTGGTTTTTCCCCGTTTTACAGCTGTGTTGTCATTTGTGCAGTTTAGTGGTGAAAATAGTGTTTCATGAGGAACTCCTCCCTTAGGTCTTGCTGGGGTTAAATGCTGCCTGAGATTTTTTATCTTATTTTGGTCGGCAATTCTCATGAGATTGCTCTGTTGGTCCATAACATTTGATAGCCAGAAGCAGCAGTAGGCACTCAGGCCAACTTGTTCTGCCAGTAGGGAAAAGCAGATCCCAGTCCCCTCATTCCAGCCTTTTCATGCTGAGAATGGCTGCTGTGTTGTTAATCACTCTATTAAGAAGAAGGGGATTCTTTCACTGATACAAATTTAAAATTGTTTAAGACTAAAAGGTGGGATTTACTCATGAATTAGAAAAACTCAATTTATAACTGTCATCACATTTGAGAACTGTGAAAGAAAACCTTTAGCAGTACTGTATGAGCAGGTTTCATGCTGGGCTTTTCCATGTATCAGAGTTCTTTTTTTTCTTTTTCTTTTTAACTTTTTTCCCCACTTGTTACTTTTATGGTTCTTCAGTCACCAGGGTTCTGCCAGAGAGCGGCTTAAAAACTGGCGGTGCAGCAGTTGCTTTGGTCCCAAGATTCAAAAGTACCATTATTCTTAGGCATTGGAATAATATTAATGTGTACCTTCTACAGAATGCCAGCAGTTTATATTGAACGTGTACTCTGCAGCAGTTTTGAGAGTCACTAACAGGGAAATGAAAGGGAGCTGGATCCTGAAGTTACTTGTTTGTCATTTGTGTTCATTCAGGTGGAAGTTTAGTTTGGCTTGACTTTGCAAGAGCAGAGTAGTAATTACACATCTCAGCATGACAAGAAATGCAGAAGGAATTTTTCATGCTTTTTTTTATTTTTTTTTTTTCCCACTTTACATTTGTTTAGTGATTCTCTTTATACCTGAATCTGACTCCATCAGAGACGAAACTGCACAAGTCTGTATTTTCTCCTGGCAATCTAAATAACGTCCTGAGCCCTGGCAGATGGAATTCCCTGTCCTGTGTATTCCCAGGATCTTAATTAGGAGAACTTGAACAGTTACAAACCATTGCCACTGCCTGAATCCTCTGTGTCTTAGAGCAGCTCTCTGCTTTTTCATCTAGAGCATTCTTATGGGGCTTGTGTCCACCAGGCCTGGCTGGAATCAGGAGCCAGAGTGCCGAGGACAGTACCTGGGGCAGGAGCACTAAGCCACCTGCTCAGAGAGAAATGGGGAGCTGAACACTTTAGAAATCCTTGGACATCTCTGTGAGAATGGTGATTTAATTAGTGTTAGTCACTATCAGAAGCAGTGATTTTGTATTTAGATGCAGTTCCTGAAGTGAGAAATGTAGATGAGAGACAATCTATAAAATATACAAACTTGCTTACAGTGAGGTACTTGAAATAGGAGATACTTAAAGACTTCTTATTCAGCACCCTGCAATACCCTCCAGTCAGCATGTTACAGTTCACCTTGCTGCATGTGTTCCCTTGTTTTAGGAATCCTCCCACTGATGTGTATCCAGATGGGCTGACCCCAGTCTTCTTACAGCAGTGTTTTAGGCACCATCCAAGAGCTTCTGTCCAGCCCTCAGCTGTGTGTCTGTCCCTCAGGGGAAGAACTGGGGCCTCTCTTGGTAGCTCATCTTTCCTGTTTCTTTGGGGCTCAGTTGCTCTGCTCTTCCCATGAGTTACTGGCCAGGTGCTTCTGCTCCGCAGCTCTGGGCTCTCAGCTGGGCTGCCTGGCTCTTTGGATTAATGAGGAAAAGCTCTTCTTGGTGCAGGAGAGGGAATTGCAAAGGCCTGGAATGGAGTTCTGTAGATAACTGAGTGCTGGACTGTTCTGGAGCAGCCCTGGGAGGGCTGGGTGGGGGAGCTTCACCACCACAGCCTAGGGCAGAACCTCCATCTGTGCTTCCCCCTTGGTGCCTTGCAGAACACTGACCTCCTCCTTGCTTTCCAGCACAATTGCAGAGGCAAAACGCTTCTGTAGACAAGATCTCAGGGATAGATTTGTAGGGAGTGGGACGGTGAGTTCTCATTCCCAATGTCTGTTCTGTCTAGCCCCAGCTAAGAGCACGACCCTGCTGCCGTGACCATCACCCCAGGCCTGCAGAGGAGCTTCCTTCTGCTCTGTGGGAAGGAGAGGGGATCCTCTCCTTTGTTGAAAACAAGCTTTGTTGCTTTTCTTGTGCTTGTCTATAAATGCACAAATGAAGGGTAAAACACCAATTGAAATTCCACTTAGAAGCAGCTTATTTCATTGCAAGATTTTCCAGTTAAGTTTGAGTCTCTCCAGCACAACCTCTTGGATAGCGCAGAAACTTTGTCAGACTTTCCTTTTTCTTCATTTTATCCTTTTTTCATTCCCACATAACGCATTAGAGGTGTTCATTGGGTTTATTTGATTTTTCCTTCATGGAATCATGGGTAGTTTCATTGCAGCTCATCTCTTTCTGTTTGTTTCGTATAGGGCTGGTAGTGCAGGACCATTCAGACCCCCTGTTCAGTTCCTATGCCTATAAGTCCCACTATCTACTGAATGAGTCAAATCGTGCTGAGTTGATGAAATTACCTATGATTCCTCCTCCTTCGTCAGCTTCCAAAAAGAAATGTGAGAAAGGTAACCAAAATAGTTTCTTTCTCTTTAATTTACTTTCGCTTTTTCTATATTTTACTCTCTAAATCAACGGAGAAATGTCTGCTTGTCCCCACACTGACTGCTTTCAGTGACCTTCACTCATGGTTATTGTGAGCCTGTGTTCATGTTGTTGGCAATTTTTTTTTTTTTTTTTTTAAATTATAAAAGGGCTTAAAATAATTGCTGTCACTAAATTCTGCTTGGAAGAGATTTGGTCACTCTCTATCTGGCCTGGGCTGTTCCAGGTTCAGGGAGCTGTTTGCACAGCAATGTGAAGAAGAGGCCAATGGATCTGGATATTGCTGCAGTTCCGTATTTACCTGGATGATGTAAAACCACTTCTTAAACTGGCTGAAAGCGGAGGGGGATGTGCTGCTTCAGATCTTGTGCAGGTCCTGAGAGAAGAGAGGGCGTTTGGGGCTGGACAGGGGTGGGTGCCGTGTCCTTCTGGAGGGTTCCAGAGCAGGGAGCAGTGAGGTTTGGCCTGTGTGTGTCCCCTGGGCCTCGTGTCCCAGCTCTGCCACCGAAGCAGCAGTGCCCCATCCCTGTCCCCTCCCGTGGGGACGGGTCCTTGCCCCAGCCAGGCTCTGACCCCGCAGCTCTGGACAGGGAGCACTTCCTGCTGCTGCTGAGCGGGGCTGGGGCTCTCCACATCCCTCCCGAGGCAGTTCTGCTGTCCGTGTGCAGTGCTCAGATGTGATATTTCATTCCTCACAGAAATTTGCTTCCCTGGGAGCGTTCAGAGCCAGTGCCCCATTACCCAGCCCAAGTTAGGTCGCTTTGAGCGTTGTGACATCAATGGCTTGCAGTAGTCCTGTAATTCCTGAAAACAAGAATTATTTTGAGCCCTGTGCTTAGCTTGAGCCATATCTGCCTAATGCATCCCAAGAGCAATGTTGGGTTTTTCTTGCTTAGCATTGACAGTTTTGTGTTTGATTTTGTTTGATTTTTGCATCTCTTGGCTTTTTCTCATCTTGGATAATGTTTCAGTAATTTGTCTGTATTTCCTCTGAAATTACATTTGCAAAAAATACTTTAAAATTTCCTTATGGGTTTGGGAGCTCTGGAGGATACATATGGCTGGATTTTACTGGTTTTAGCAGAGGAAATACAGTGTTGGTCTGCAACTGAATTGTTTAAGGAATGCTCATTGTAACATGCAGTGATCAATTAATACAGTGGTATTTTGGGAAGTCTATAGGTGGACAAAATTTTCTGATAAAGGTTTGAAATGGACTGCACTTCTTTTGATACTGTGATTGAAAATTGGTTTGAATACTCTCAAGTCTCTCCCAGATTTTCCATCTGGGACAAAAAAATCTTGTTAATTTTTTAAATATATATATATGTGTACGTATTATATACCTACATGTATAAAATACTACAGTATGTGTAACATATCAAGTCATCTTACACAAGCTGCTTTGCTGAGGGTGGCTTAGAGATGTGCTGTGGCTCTCCACATGTAACACATCATCGAAAATGTGAACCAACCAAAATAACTTTTGCCCAAATTAATGTAAACTTGAGAAATTCATGTGAACCCCGGCGCTGAGGTTCCTTCTGTGCACCAGGAATTTTCGGGATGGGGACAACTCATGTGTGTCTCATTCTGCTTTATGTACTGGGCTCATCCTGGTAAACTTTTTGTGGAATAAACACTTTTATTACAATTTTTTTCCTGTCCTTGCAGCAGAAAAGTATTGATCAACCTATAGGCTGCGGGGTTGGTGCTCGCTAATGATCGCTGGGGGTTCAGTCAGAGCAATGTTGATTGAAAAGGATTCTTTAAACCTGTGGAGTTTTGTGGTTGCTTTGGCCATCACCAAAGTACTAAAAGCTGGTAGCACTATTCCCAGCTGCAGTGCTTCCCTTGGGAATGACGCTGCTCCTGCCAACTCACCTTGTGTTTGAGTCCTCAGCTGCCTTTTTGTCTGATGCAGTTAAGAGTCCCAGCTTAGACTAAGCACTGCACAGTCCTTTTTAACCAACATTGTTAAGCTTGACTTGATCCCTTTCTTCTGCCGTTTTTCTGTGGGGCAGCGAGAATCTGGAGTGGATGATTTAAAATGAATGTCAATTGCTGTGCACGGGGGGGAGCAAATCCTGACTTCTACAAACCAAGCAGGGCTTCTTTGTTTCAAGGTGGCAAACTGTTGTGCTGTGAGTCCTGCCCAGCTTCCTTCCACCCCGAGTGTCTCAGCATAGAAATGCCTGAGGGATGCTGGAATTGCAATGACTGTAAAGCTGGCAAGAAGCTGCGGTACAAGCAGATCGTTTGGGTCAAGCTTGGGAATTACAGGCAAGTTCACCTTCTGGGGGTTCTGATGGATGTTTTAATGTGCTCTGGAATTGCAGGAAGATAAAGCAGTTCAATCATCATGAACAAGAGTTAGAAACACAGTAATTCCTCTGCCTGGGGTCAGACACAGATGTCACCCTTGAAATGCAATGCTGCTGCTTCTCCCAGGCAGTGCTGGACTCTGGATTGCACACACACCTTTGCTCTGCAGAGCTTGATCAGGAAAAGCAGGGGCTGGTAGAGCCCAGCTGTCCTTGCTGGTGTTTGCTTCAGTCAGCTGCAGCAGTACAGGTGTTTACAGGCGATCCTGGAAACCCACTCTCAGGCCATGGATGTTCTTAGAAGGCTTTTCCAGAATTTGGAGTAAGAATGTTGCTTGTGTTTTGCATGGAGCTTCCCAGGCATTGCCAGTGGGAACTTTGGCTGCATGAGGGAGGAATTAATTTCCTTAAGAATGGAAAACTGGCTTTTATTTCTCAGTCCCATTAGGGAAACTGGGAAGCTTTGGTTCAGGGAACTTACATTCTTCTTTTCTCTCCTACTCTGCAGGTGGTGGCCAGCAGAGATCTGCAATCCCAGGTCTGTGCCTCTCAACATACAGGGCCTCAAACATGATATCGGGGACTTCCCAGTATTTTTCTTTGGTTCACATGACTACTATTGGGTACACCAGGGCAGAGTTTTCCCTTATGTTGAAGGAGATAAAAGCTTTGCTGAGGGGCAAACTAGTATTAACAAGACCTTCAAGAAAGGTAAAATCAAACAAAGTTTATAGTGGTTTATGACAAAAATTCCACGTGTTTGTGTCTCCATCACCACTTAACCTGCATGGGAATATTATGTGACTAGTGTTCTGTGTTCACGTGAAATCCAAGCATTGTGTTGATCCCTTGACTGCAGATAAAAATGTGTTTAAGTGCCTACTCATTGTGTGTTGTTGTGGGCCAGTTCAGTGCTTCCACAAACGGGGAAATGTTAAGATGGCTCTTGGGCTCTGCTGCATGGGATCATTGTTCAGTATTTTGGTACCTGCTGAAAGTACCTGATGATAAATTGCAATAACTAATTTTTAGCTTGTCTTTTTGTTAATAGAGTTCTGTTCCTAGTCTTAAAAAAAAATAAAATTAAATAGCTACATGTACAAGTACATATTTGATTAGCAGCAGCTGGGGTTGATTGCTTTCTATTCTGAATTCCTTGCACAGCACTTGAAGAAGCAGCAAAGCGTTTCCAGGAACTGAAAGCACAAAGAGAAAGCAAAGAGGCATTGGAAATTGAAAGGAATTCAAGGAAACCTCCACCCTATAAACACATTAAAGTGAGTTGGCCTCTTTCTTTTTTATTTTTATTCAGTGTGTGAGGAAGTTGCCCTGTGCATGAGTAAGGATGCCTAGAGAAGGTGTGGCTGCCCACTCGCTGGCAGTGTTCAAGGATGGGCTGGCTGGGGATCAGAGCAATCTGATTTAATGGAAGGTGTCTCTGCCCGTGGCAGGGGTTGGGACTGGACAGTCTTTAGGGTCCCTTCCACCCCACACTGTTCTGTGATTCTCAGTTCAAGGTGTTCAACAGTGGGAGCCTAAAGAAATTCACGTAAATCATTTTGCCATTCTTTTCACTAATCTCGTGTTGTGTTTTACAGTGCCATAAAACACAGGATAAAATAATTGCTTTTTTGCCTTTTCATGTCAGTCGTTGACTGCGTTCCCAGTGCGACGTCTTCATCCTTTGTTTCCCCCTTTGTTCCCCAGTCCAACAAGGTGATTGGGAAGGTTCAGATCCAGGTGGCCGACCTGTCGGAGATTCCACGCTGTAACTGCAAGCCGTCGGACGAGAACCCGTGCGGGCTGGAGTCGGAGTGCCTCAACAGGATGCTGCAGTACGAGTGCCACCCGCAGGTGTGCCCGGCTGGGGAGCGCTGCCAGAACCAGTGCTTCACCAAGAGGCTCTACCCCGACGCCGAGATCATCAAAACCGAGCGCCGCGGCTGGGGCCTCCGCACCAAAAGGAGCATTAAAAAGGTAGAGTGGCCCAGGACAAGGCTGTTGGCAGCCATCAGGGTGGGTCTGGGTGAAAGCATTGCACTCTGCACCTGCAGAGAATGAGCTGTGTTTTAACACCTCAGCAGCTGCCAGAGCAGTGTGCAATGCATTGGTCACCTGGTATCGAGGTGTCAGATATGCCCCAGCTTTTCTGATTTTCCTTAGAAAACACTATGGATCTGGAGGGCTGCTTTTCAACTATTTAAGTTTAATGGGTTTAGCCATTAATTTTATTAAATTCAGAACTTTTTAAATCTGCTTTTCATGAAAACAGTGTTACTGCAAATGTTCTGAGTTTGACTACTGAAGTCCTAATAAAAGTGAAGAATGTAGCGAAAATACTGTAACAGCTCCTGTTTCCTGAGGAGTCCATGAATATTGTCACATTGTTTTCTGTGAAAGAAGGTTGAAGACAACTGTCTTGTGTACTGAATGCAGGAACAGGGCTGCCTTTTATTCTGCATGGGTGTACTGCTTGGGCAGCAATTACCTGGTGCATGTGTGGATGTTAAATATGAGCAAAAGCAGGGAGCACAGTGTCTGTGGAAAGCAGGCCACATAACTGTCTCAGTCTCACCTGAGAAGGTGGCCTGAGAAATGATGAGGAGGAATTAAAACAACCCTCAGAGACAGGAGACAGCCTTGCAGGTGCTGTTTGTCAGTTCCTTGTTTTCTTGCAAGAGAAGGTGGAGGGGTGGTGCACCCCACTGACCAGTGATGGTGATGTGTTAGCTCATTGACCAATAAGAGTTTTACCTTTTTGTGCTTCCATGCATGGGTCAATAAAGAAGAACTGAGGTGATAAACCTCACTCTCCTGTTCAGCTCACAAGGGAGTCCGTGTCCTGCTTCTCTCCATTCCCAATAGAGCGCCAGTGCTTGTATTCACACTGTGCCTACTAGATCAGTAAAGTGTAAGACTTTTTGTGATGATTAGAGTCTTTTTTATAGGAAATGCTTTTTTCTATGCTGCTTCCCTTTATCATTGGGATTAGGATGCATAGATTTCTTAGTTTTATTTGCTCTCATTTCTTCTGCAGGGTGAATTTGTGAATGAATATGTTGGGGAGCTGATTGATGAGGAGGAGTGCCGGCTGCGGATCAAACGTGCTCACGAGAACAGTGTCACCAATTTTTATATGCTAACTGTAACCAAGGTGAATATCGTGTCTTGTTCGATAGCAAATGTCACTCAGCAGCAGGAAATATCTTTGCTTTGTAAATAATAAACACATCTTTGTCTTTTTCCTTGAAGGACCGAATAATAGATGCTGGCCCAAAGGGGAACTACTCTCGTTTTATGAACCACAGTTGTAACCCAAACTGTGAAACACAGAAGTGGACAGTGAATGGTGACATTAGAGTTGGACTGTTTGCTCTTTGTGACATTCCTGCAGGTAAAAGGATGGCACTATTTGGCATGTTTGCTTTTCTCTTGCAGTGGCCAAGTTCCTCACTTAGAATTAGAGTTTTTGCTTTGAAGTTGTTAATACCAGTGAAATGTTTAGGAACTTTGTCATTAATGGGAGTGGAGATGATACATAAGGTTCCAGTTTTCACAGGGGTCTCATGGTAACAAATGCTAATGAAATGTCATTGTCACAGGCCTGTCTTCCTTCAGTGTCCCTCTGGGTGAATTGTTTTTCTTTAAATCTTAGGAATGGAGTTAACATTCAATTACAACCTGGATTGCCTGGGCAATGGCAGGACCGAGTGTCACTGCGGAGCAGAAAACTGCAGCGGCTTCCTGGGAGTGCGTCCCAAGGTACATGGATGAAACTGGAGCTTCTCCTCCCTAATCAAAAATAGGGCAAATAGGGTTTTGATTTATTTCACTCTTTAACCTATCCAACATCTTTTACCCTTGAAAGTCTCCAAAGATTTTATAGCATGGCCTGCCATGCTGTTGTGTCTGGTGGGAAGTTAATTCAGAAACGTCTGAATGAGCACTTCTGGCTCTTAGAGCTTAAAAGCTATTTTAAATGAATCTCATTTAAGGAGAGTTTCATGCAAATAATAACCCAAAACTGACTTAAATGCCAGGGGTTTAGAAGTTACTCTGTGTTGTGATTTTCTCCTTCTTAGACAGCATTTGCAACGGCAAATGAAGAAAAGGTGAAAAATGCAAAATTAAAGCAAAAGAAACGGAAAATAAAAACAGAACAGAAGCAGATGCATGAAGATAACTGTTTCCAGTGTGGAGATGGGGGAGAACTGGTCATGTGTGATAAGAAGGACTGTCCCAAAGCATACCACCTCCTATGCCTTAACCTGACTCAACCACCTTTTGGTAAGAGCAGTCACATGGCTCCTCCTGCTCAACTTTTCCTTCCTGCTACAAGACAGTGTTGGAGGTGAAATGCAGCGTTCACGTACATAAAATACAGTGTTCACTTGCATTAAATGCAGTATTCATTTGCACTAAATGCACCAAATCTGCTTTTGCAATACCATGCACTTTTAGCAGTACATCAGGGGACTGTTCCTGAATGGAACCAGTGGGCAAAGGCTTTGTCATATTGTTTATGTTGTTCTTGTTCCTCTCCTTGAGTCAAACTTCCTCTTATTTTGATTGAAACGTGAGCATCATCTTGGTGTCCTAGCACAAGCAAATGACAGTTCAAACAATGACAAAGTCAGCAGAATGTGTAGGGCTGACCTAAAGCTTCCTTTGGAGGTACCCTCTGAGGAGCACAGTGTGCAGGGCAACGTGAGATGCTCACAAATCAGGAAAATGTACAACACAAACTCTGTCTTGCAAGGACATTCAGTGCCTTGACACCCAGGGAGATAGATCTGACTGTTTTAAGGTCTGGTTGTGCATGCAGTAATGTTCTGGGCCAAGAGAGGCCTAGAAAATCCAAAATAGATCTGTGTTCAGTCAGGTTCTTGTATATGAGAAGCAGAAACAGCAGTTGATTTTTCTGAACTTTGGTTGCATTCATCTGCGCAATCCAACACAGAGTGAGGGTTAAAGGCCGGTGCTGTCTGTGAAGTGCACTAATTCCAGCTTCCTTCCTCTTTCTCCTCTCATCCTCAGGAAAGTGGGAATGTCCGTGGCACCAGTGTGACATCTGTAGCAATCCTGCCGTGTCCTTCTGTGAGTTCTGCCCCCATTCCTTCTGTAAGGATCACGAGAAGGGAGCGCTGGTGCCGTCGGCGCTGGACGGCCGCCTCTGCTGTTCCGCACACGACCCCAAATCTCCTGTGGCCCCCGAGTACTGGAGCAAGATCAAGTGCAAATTGGAAGCACAGAATGCTGTGGAAGAGGCAAAGGAGTGAATTTGGTTAAAAACAAACACGGGAAGAGAGAAGAGGGGCAACAGGCGATGAACTCAGATTGCAATGCCACACTTGTCCTTGGAGCCAGCACGTGTGAGCTGGAACGGGACCATTGACCTGAGCGAGAAGGACCAGGCAGTAGTGTTTGGTTTTTGTTTGGTCTTTCTTTTACCCTTGAATGTGCTACAGCAGCTCTTACTGTTGGAAACAAGGAGCGTCTTGGCCTTTGAAGAAAACCGTAAACCTTTTGACAGTGAAAAGAATATTCTGTTTAAAATAATGTTCTTTGGGTGTAGAAAGCAAAACATAGCCACATATTTATTTATTTAATTTTGAAAGGGTTTTGAAGATCTGGCTTTGATCAGTCATCGTGTCTTTAAAAACAAAACAGCGAAGCCAACGTAACTTTTGTGTCTAGTTTATGGAAAGAGCAAAGCCTCTCCCCCTCTGTAACACTGAGATGCCAAACAGACAGGTGTGGGTGTCAGACCAGGTGGCTCTGAAATGCCTCTGTTCCAGTACTTATTGTTAAAGGCATTGGAGAAGGTAGGTTGTCTCTCATGTTTACTTACGAATATTATTGTGAAGCTTTTCCTGTGAGAAATCAGGTGTGTGACTTCTGGGAAGTGCATATAACACAAGGTCTGGCAGTGGGGAAAAACGGTGGCTCCTCGCTCCAGAGCTGCCTTGGGTGTTTGCAGACACGTGCAGAAATTCAGAGTTTACTTGCACAGTGGTCATTCCTTTATCCCACCTATTTTGAAAGCCCATCCCAAGCAGGAGAGGCTCCCAGCCTCAGTCACAGCTGAAGTCAGTCCTGCCAGTGGGTTCATCATCTGCCACATCTGCGCTGGTTTGGTGGCAGTTACTGAGTGTGATTCTTCAGTCCTGCCTTCTCAGGCTGCCCTTGGCTTCAGGGAGACGTGGGCACGAGAGGGACCTGACCCATGTCCACGTTGGTTTCGATGGAATGTTAAGATTTTCTTGCTGAGAGAGAGCTTCTAACTTTAATCTTCATTGTTAATGGAGCTGAGGAACATCTTGGCACTTCCTCAATGAACAGGGTATTTTGTGTCTGGGTAAGGGGCCATATCCCAGCAGCCAGCTGATACCTCAGGAGTGGTTCTGTCTTGGATTTCCTCTGTTAATCAGAGAGACAGACTCCTTCAGTGAGGCTTTCAAAGTGGCTTATGTTGGCTCTCGCTCCAGAATTTTTTTAGGAAATCTATATTCCTCCATTTTTTTGTGCAAGGAGCCACGGGGCACTGGTGTCCTCAGGCTGGAGCTAGTTTTGGTGACTCTTCCCCCCAGCCCATGATCTTACCAAGCACTGTGTCTCCCCTCCTGCCCTGGTATAGCAAGTACTTCTGACTTGTGTACTGGTAGTAGCTACTCCCTGCCAGCCTTTGCTCATGGGTACTGAAAATAATTGAGTGTTGCTGGCATCTGGCTGAACTGAGCCTTGGAATTAAGAACCTTGTCTCTAGAAAACTGCTTACAGAAACCTGTGGGAACACGGAAACTTCTCAGATCTAGAAAAACAGGCTGAAAAAGTCTCTGTGGAATTCAAAAATGTCTTGCCTCTGCCTGGTGTCCTCATCCTCAAATTGATGTAAAGGTGGAGTTTTTTGTGTGTGCAATGGTAGAGTGATACACTACAGTCCCTGAGCAGCTGCTGTGCTGTGGGCTCTGCCCAGAGCTCCTGCCCACACCTCTCTTGGGGTGACAGAACCCGCAGGTTCTGGGGCACTCCTGGGGCAGCAGCTCTTGGGATCCCTAAAGCACTTCCTGCTGTGGGCCACGCTCCAGTAGGGTCCAACACTAACCCTGCTGGAAAGCAGTGCTGGATTTTGGTATTTTTAAAGAAAAAAAAAATTACAAAAAGGATTTTATTTTTCTTAATGTTTTGTGTGAGAAATGTCTTTTTTTAAGCTCTTATTGAGGATGTTTAACCTTCTCAAATTCCAAACACAGCTCTTGCTACCACTCTGTAGGACCTGAGGTGTTCACTTTATATTAGGCTTGATAATGTTCAGTGATTTTCTCTGAAGTCAGAGCGTTCTGATATTGCAGATATCAGCTGATATATTATATATATATATATGTGTGTGTTTGTGTATATATATATATCAGGTATGTTGCTGATATCATGCTGCTGTGTGAGTGCACTGACCTGCTCCCTTCATTCCGTGTCTGTGGTGACCTGCTGAGCAGGGGGACGTGCTGTGGCAGCACCAGGACACCTTGGGAGCATCAGACAGGAGCCACAGACTGCCAGTGGCCACCCTGGTCATGCTACAGAGCTGTGCCGGGGCACAGGGAGGGCACAGAAGGCTTAAAACTTGTCAAATGCTGTGATAGAGAGTGCTGCTCCTGTGCCACCTGCTGTCCTTGTACACTTTGTGTTCAGACTTCTTAGAGATGCTTCTTTTTTTCCACCAAGAAAGGATTCATAGCAGCCAATAGCTGGGCTTGGACTCAGAAGGAAAAACAGGAGAGGTTGTTCAGTTTGTGAGCAAACCTCTGAACTGAAGGTGAGTCTTTCCAAAAGCTTTAATGTTAGATGAGAAAAGGCCAGTTCAGAGGATCTTGGTGACTGCAGGGGCTGTGCTGAGCGCCAGACTCAGATGTTAAAATGCACATTTTAACCATGTCTTTGTGAACAGCGTAACCAGATTGTAGTTGCTTAGTGCAGTTCCTTTGTAAGGAAAAGATTGCACAGCTGTTCTGATGGATTGGCTTCAGCAGAGTGGGAGGCAGCTGCTGAATTCATTTGTGTGGGCTCCAAAATAAGGAATCTTGGATAGTTGGGTCATTTCATGCTGAGACCTAGAGGAAATCCACAGAACTGGTGATTTTGGTGGAGAACTGCAGTGTGCTGTCCCAGCACATTGTTGTTCCTTCATGGGAACAGACCGGTACGTTTCTCCCTTTTGTGTTAAATTTTTGGGGTGGCCCCACACTTCTGGTGACCTCCTGCCTCCAGCTCTGGCACCTGGGCAGTGCCTGAGCTGCCCTGCCCAGGGAACATTTGTGGTTTACTGGAGCTTGTCCTCTGCAGCTGCACCTGGACACAGTGCAGGCATCCTGCAGCCCTCGGCCAGAGGAATCTAGGATCAAGAATTCCACGATTCTGTGATTCCAGTGGTGCAGAGGCTGGTTCCACCATTCCTGAACACATAGTGCAAGCTGTTGTAGCTGTCAGATTATTGTATAGACTTGTCCTGTCCATAGAGTGTTGAAGGCGTTTGCAGCTCAGGAAGGAAATTTTGTGGGCAAATCACCTTCTCTGGTCACCACATGGTCTTAGAGGATCAGTTCAAATGGAGTAATAGGGCTGGAACGTGGATTTTTGGCCTTTCTTCTAAAAAAAACCCCTTCTTTTATCTTAATTTCAGGATAGAATGGGAAGGACACAATTACTAGACATAATTATCAATGAGCATAAAATCTGTATATATTGAAACTTTACAGAATTAAGTGGGGGGGAGGGTGGGATGGGGGTGTCCGACGCTGGTACGGAGAAGTCACTTTAACATGGAAACCTCTGCCTCATTGAATTCAGGGTTTAATGTACTTGAAGCTCTGCGGTTCCTTTTACAGCTTTTTTATTTATACATGATTTTTTGTATACTGCTTTGAAAATGTCCTTGACTTCCCCCAAGTTCTTTCCTGCTCCCGCTGTACAGTGGATCCGTGGCAAACAGGAGGGTTTGGAAGCAGCTGTCTCGGAGGTGCACCAGGTGTCGCGTGGGAGACGGCAACCTTGGAGCGATGCTGTCCCTCTGCTTCCCGTTCCCATCAGCTTTCCCCACCATTTCTCTTTGTGTAGCAAAAACATTTGCACTTACGATACACTCCTACACGTTGGATGTGTTCCCAGTGTTGTTCTGAGGGAAAAAGGAGAAAAAAACAAGGCAAAACAGGAAGAAAAGCAAAGCTGTTCACTGTGATACTGCGTGAGCAGCTTAGGTCTGTGTTCCCCTGGGAGGGGTCTCGCCGCTCCAGAGCAGGAGGTAGGGAGCTGGAACTGTGCTTTGCGCAGGGGATTTCTGTGATCAATGTGAATAAAAAAGGGAAAACGTGTAAGAATTTGCCAAAGCCATTCCACCACTCCCTGTGCCCCAGGGCTGTTCCCTCCCTGTGCCAGCTGCAGGGGCAGGCGGCTGCCTGGGGTCCCTCTGGAGATCCCGGCTGTGTGGGGTCCCTGGAGCCCCCACCTTACAGTTCTCTCTTGCTTTTGGGTCCTAACCAGGCTGGACGAGCCCCTCCGCTCCCTGTTCCAGGCGGATCTGTGTCTCATTTCTGGTGTCACTTTCCCAGTCCCCAGTGGTGTTGCCGCAGCCCCCGGGCTGATCCTGTCCCGTTTGGGTGGGGGTCTGGGGGTTTGCATTCGGGGTGCTGCGAGGACCCCGAGCCGTCTGTCTCCACGCGAGTGATGTTGCACAACACAGATCCCCACGGATCAGTCTCCATCCCCACGTGCTCTGTAAGATGGACCTTTGTAGAGTCGTTATTTCTGTAGACTTTGTTTATCTGTAACAAACTTTGTAGATTCTGTGAAATGTTATTTTAAGGAAATCACTCGAGTCTTTAATAGCAAAGCATCGATATTCACCGAAGTCGATACCGAGGAGTTTTTGGACGCAGATGCAGCCCTGACACTACCGAGGAGTGTCTGATTCCACGGGGCATTACTGTATCATGACTTGATGTTGCCGCATAGACTTTGAGATATCCGATATTTTGGGGGGTTTGTGTTGGCCTCTGTCCTCTTGCATAGTGTGAAGCCTGTAAAGCTGGTTCCCTGTACATAGATAGCTCCTGTCCTCTAGGTAGAGCGTATCGAGACTTGCCTGTAATATTTTAGCTTCTTACTGACTGTGTGTGATGGTAGAACATGTAATTTTTGTACATTCTATTTACTGAGATGTTGCCTTTTTTTAATTTTATTTTACAAATACTCTGGAATTCAGATGTCGTTTTTTTGGGTTTTGAGTTTTGGTGGGTTTTTTTTTGTTCTTTTGTTTTTGTTTTACTTTTTTTTTTTTCCCCATTTGCTTTTCCGTGAGGATTCCTTTGGAAAGGTTTTTAATGACATTCCACTGATCTGAAATTTTTGCTTGAGGTTGACTTCAATAAATCGTTGTGAATGTTGCACTGCTGAGATGAGTCAGTTCCGTGTCGGGGCGGGGCGGGGGGACAGCGGTGCTCGGGTCCCTCTGCGGGCGGTGGCCATGCGGCGAGCGGAGCTGGCGGCCGAGGCGGCTCTGCGGGCGCTGCTCCTCGGCACCTTCGGGTGTGTGCGGGACCCCCGGGCCCCCCCCGGCCCTGCCCGGCCCCGCTCACCGCCTGCTCTCCTTCCAGGCTCATGGAGTTCCTGCCGCCCTTCCGACGCGTGCTGCAGCCCGAGGAGATGTGGCTCTACAAAAACCCCTACGTCGAAGCGGACCATGTTCCCACCGTCCTCATGTTTGTAAGTTCAGTGGGTTCGTGCCGTGGTTTGGGCCGGAAGGGACCTTAAGAGATCGTTTTGTCCCTCCCACCACGGGGGATGCTCCCCTCCCAGCAGCCCGAGCCCCCCCGCACCATCTGGCTGGGAACAGTTCCGGAGCTGGGGCAGCCGCAGCTTCTCTGGGCAGCCTGTGCCCGTGTGTCCTGCATTTACTTTGGTTTATTCTCAAATGACAAGCTCTCCCTTTAAAGCAAGGCTGCTGGCTGAAGTGCTGCAGTACCTGCAGCTCCTAGTGCACGCTGCAGAAAGTGCAGGATCTCGCATCCGTGTGGATAAATAGCCGCAGGGAGGGGCTGCGAGGATGGAGCCGGGCTCTGCTCAGTGGGGGAGAGGCACAAGCTGCACCATGGGCATTTCCACCTCAGCACGAGGAAGAACTTTCCTGTGGCTGCTCAGACAGTGGGAGTCTCCTTACCTGGAGATACTCACAGTCCATCTGGACACAGTCCTGGGTGATGTGCTCTGAGGAGCCTGAGCAGAGGGGTTGGACTTGCTGGTCCCCAGTGGTCCCTTTCTACCCATTCTGTGAGGTTAGTACCAACTAGGCTGAACAAACAGGGATTTTTGTCATATTTTGAGACTTTCCCATCCAGGGTTGCCTTTGGGATTTGAAGCTCATAAACTAAGAGGACTTTGCACTGTTGTTCATAATCCATTCCACGTCTGAATTCCTGGGTGCCTGGAAGATAGCACAGCTCTCGCTATCAGGGAGTGTTTTCCTTTGCAAGCAGCTATTCTTAGCAGAGATTTATTATCATTTTATTGTCAAATGTTTTCCCAAGGGCTCCAGGATTGGTTAGAAGAGTTTGACTAATTCTGTGTTGGATTTCCAGGAGAGAGCAGTGTGCAAGAGGGGTTGGCTCCCTCTGTCACAGGTGTGAGGTGAGGGGCTGTGGCTCTTGAGCTGGCAAAGGGCAGGTGGGATTTTCTGCAAGAGGTGGCCGCTGACCATTAAGGACAAAATCTTGGCATAGCATTTGGAACAGGCATTGTAAAGCAGGACATGTGCCAGAGTTGAAGTGGGAACAGACTCCATGGGAGCCTGGCAGCCGTGGTGGGGATGTCCCGGGGTGAAATCCCGCAGGGCTGAGATGGGGATGATGATAACTGGCTGCTCTGAATCAGCAGCTCCGGTGCTTTTGCTGACAGAGCGCGGGTGCTGCTGACAGAGCGCTGATGCTGGGGCTTGCAGGGAGGGGAGAGCTGAGGTGCTGTGCCTGGGGACACCCCCAATAACCAGCCAGAGCAGCACTCTGCCAGAAGAGCTGTCTGAGAACCAAAGGGTATGCTGGGCTGATCAGGGCCTGATGCAAATCCAGGGGCTGGGGGATTGTGTTCTGATGGAACTGCAGAGGACAGATTGCCGCTTGGTTTTGGGGAAGGGAAATGTACTCAGAGTCTCCTTAGTAACTGCTCTTGTCTTCTGCTGAGAACTTAAACCTACTTCACTGACACCTAAAATTCTCCATTTTGTGCAGTTCATCGCGTTTCTGTCTCCCTTGTTGCTCATCATCCTGGCAAGGCTGTTCATGGGTGCCGACCGCGAGGACTCGAGGGAAGCCTGCCTTGGTGAGCTCCCCCTTGTCCCAGAGAGAGGCAGCTTGAGCCCTGCCCGTGCCTGAATGCGCTGCACTTTCAGATGAGGATGGTGCTGATGTGACCCTTTTGCTCTCTCTCAGCTGCCAGCCTTGCTCTTGCCCTGAACGGGGTTTTTACAAATGCCCTGAAGCTCATTGTGGGGAGGTGAGCTCTGGCTGGGTCCCAGCTGCGCCACGCGGGGAGGGTGGGGGGAAGCAGGTCTGCAATAGCCAGATCAGGGCCAGGAGCTGAGCTTGGATGTGCTCAGCACACGTGCATTTTTCTGGCTGTAAAGCCAATTTAGAATTGGAAAAAACACTGGGGAGCTGTCCCAGCCATCATTCAGATGAGCTGGGGAGGATCGCGTTGGCACGGGCAGCTCCCTGCTGCTCCGTGGCTGCTGGGAGTGCTGACACCTCAGGGCCCTGAGCTTCACTTCCCTGTCCCAGACCACGGCCTGACTTCTTCTACCGCTGCTTCCCTGACGGTCGAGCCAACGCCGAGCTGCTGTGTGCGGGGGACAGCCGCAGAGTGACAGAGGGACGCAAGAGCTTCCCCAGCGGACACGCGTCCTGTGAGTTCTCCATGGCTCCTTCCTGCTGCAGCCCTGGGCAGGGAGCTGTGGGGAGCAGGACCCGTGGGGAGGGCAGCTTGCATTTGCTCTCCTGCACCCCACAGCTTTGGCTGCATTCGTTGGCGTGGTCAGGGGACTCTGCAAAGCAATGGGGTGAGAAATGTGGTCCAAAGCTGTCTGTAACCCTGGAAGGAGGGATGCGTGCCAGGTACCTGCTTCTAGGATCTCTCACTCCCAGCTGGTGCTTCCCTTGGCTCATGGGGACACACAGACACCTCTCACAGCAGCAGCAGAGGGTGAGGGTCTGGCAGCAAAGCCTGGAGCTATTCTGAACCAACATTGTTCTGTTCTCTTCCAGTTGCCTTTGCTGGCCTTGCCTTCTCTGCCTTCTACCTGGCGGGGAAGCTGCACAGCTTCGTTCCGGGGCGGGGGGGCCGGGCCCTGCGCTTCTGTGCCTTCCTCCTCCCCCTCTTCCTGGCCACCCTCATCGCCGTGTCCCGCACCTGCGACTACAAGCACCACTGGGAAGGTGGGTGAGCATCTGCTGGGGGGGCTCAGCACCTCAGCAGAGCACTCCAGGCATGGGGGCTGTGGTGCCACAGAAGTGTTCAGAGCCTCTAAGAGCAGCTTGGGGTTTCTGTTTTTTTTACTCCTCCAGTGGCAATTTTGGTGCCACCTGTGGGGAACTGATGCCTTGCTCTGTGGTTTTGAAATCCCTGCCAAGCTTGGGTTTACAGCCAGGTTATGGATCTAGCAGAAAAGCTGCTGCTGAGGAATTGATCCCAGGGCTTGGGAGGGTGAAGGGCCATTAACTTTGCTCTGCTTTCACCCACAGATGTGTTGGTTGGCTCAGTGATGGGCTTGGTGCTCGCGTACCTGTGCTACAGGCAGTACTACCCTCCCCTGACCGACGCCACGTGCCACAAACCATCTCTGGCCAAGCCCAAAACGCTGCCAGCACATGAGGAGAAGCCTCCAGCTCCCAACTTCCACATGAACGTCTAGTGTTGAGCTCTGTCCTGCCTGCTCCCTGGATGCCAGGGCAGGGCAAGGCTTGGGGCAGGCTCTGATGAGGATGAACCCCTGGGCAGGTGTTCCCTGCCGAGCCGGTGAGTTTCCTGCCCTGGCCCTCGTGTTTCATTTCACTGAGTTTTGTAGGCCACCCCCTCTTGAGGCTCGCTGTGGAGCGAGGGAGGCACTCGGGGTGCCAACCTGCAGGGCTCTGAAGGTCCTGAACAGGAACTGGGAAAACGTGACAACCCAGTGTGCCCAGTCTGGTGGGAGTTCTTGTGTACAGTCTAGGAAGCACCACCGGTCACCTCCCTGCAATCCAGCCAAGATGTCCCAGCCCTTCTCCTGGGAAATCAAATGCAGGACCTGAGTTTTTCTAATTTCCCAAATAAAGGAGTTTCATTTTTGTAATGAGCTGTGGTACTAAAACTTTATTTCAAGGCTTGGGTTGTTGCTTTATAAGCCATTTCCTCTGGTGTCTGCAAGGGTTTCTGGTGGGTGCTCTTTCCTTGCAGCTGTAGTATAGTTTTAAGGAGATGACAGCAGAAAATGAAATGGTGTCAGAGCATCCCTGCAGCTCTGTGAGAGCATCCTGCACAGGTGCTCATTTCCCTTCCCATGGTCTGTCTCAGACAAGGAAGGGCAGAGCTGCTGAGATCCAGGGCCAGCTGCCTGGCAGGAGCTCTGTGAGCAGTTTGTCACTGGTCCCTTCAAAGACAGCTGTAGTTTCCAGTGTGTGTACATGCAAACACCACAGGTGAGGCAGTAGTGAACTCCATCAGCTGCAGTTTGGACCCTCTGTAACTCTGCAGCTTCAACAGAATTGCAGAAATAGCTTCACTTTCACTTCCCCTAAAACTGCACATGTGAATTTTCCAGCCCTTCCTTCTCCCCCCAGACATGCACACACCACAGTCATCTACTTATTTATTTTGGCTTTTACTGGAAAAGACATTAACATTTAAAATGTATTTAACTTCTTTTTTTTTAAACAAAGTGCGTAACTTAAAAAGCTGATCATTAGTGTCCCATGTTAAGACTTTCCTTTCCTACTCCCATGAGACCTTAGCCAGCAGTAGTTCAGGTGCTGACTGAGCAGCTTGGCTGTTCCTGCAGTCAGGTAAAGAACAGCTTCTGTTCCTTGGGAGGGGAGGGAGGGATGGAGGCTGCAAACAAAACCCTTCCAATAGTGCAAACAACAGACAATGGAGGAAAAACAAACCAACAGGCTGTGGGGAAAAAAGGCTCCTTACCCCATGCAGGGCAAAAGTCAGCAGGAAGGAAAGTGGTTTGGCTCTTCCAAAGGCTGCACAGCAACACCTCACACAGCACTGGAGCCCCAGCCCAGGCACTGAGCCAGCCCAGGGGCTTTGGTGGCCAGGGAAGGATCACAGAGGCTCTCCAGCCCTGTTCCCCCCAAAAAAGAGTTTCAAGGCAGGTGCAGACTGAGCTGCCTACAGAGCTGGTGTCATTCCTGCAGTGTCCAGACCCTGCTGGATCCCGGCTCCACCTCTGCTGGCTGCGTTTTGTACATTTAAAGCTGAAAACAAGGACTTGGAGCATGGTGAGCACAACATCTCCATCCTCACCCACCAGCCCTGTGGGACAACATTGTTGCTCTGTGTCCCTGTGGGGCACAAGGGGCTCACCCTGTCCTGGCACTGCCAGCTGCAGCTGCTGCTCCCCAGGCTGGCTGGAGCTGGGGGTGAAGCTTTCCTCAGGGCAGGGACACTGCTGGGCATGGCTCGCTCAGTGCTGTGCGGAGCCCCTTGGTTCCAGCACGGGCTGGGTGAGGGTGCAGAGCTGTCACTACCAACACACCACAGCAGGGAGGAGCACGGGGCAGCCCTGCCTGGCTCGGCCCAGGGCTGCACAAACGTGCAGCAGCAGTGCAGGGACACGGGGGTGGCTGCTGGTCAGACCCTGTGCCCTGGGCTTCGCCTCCCGGCAGCGCTGGCGTGGCTGCTGCTGTTAGCAGTCAGAAATCTCCCTTGCTCCCAGGCTGCTGTTGCTCTTTCCACACTCTGTGTTTAAGGCTTTTTCTCCTCCTCAAGGTCCTGGGCTGTGAGTGTCCTCATCAGGCCAGGCACAGGGTCAGGACCAGGTTCTGAGCCTGGACAGCTCGTCTGCTGCAGTGCTGGAGGAGCTGGTGTGGGGACTCACAGGTGGAGGGTTAACATTGCCACAGGGAGTCTCTCTACAGGTGTTATGTGTGTTTGAGCAGAAGTGTTTTTCCCTTGACAGTTTTTTCCCCCTACCCAAAATGGAGGAAAATCCGTCCTTATCTCCAGGCAGCAGCAGGTACTTGGGAAGCAGCATGCAGGACACGGCAGCAGAGGAGAGAGGAAGGCAGAGAAGAGATCTGGACTTTCCTGGTGAGTACTCAGTGGGATTGCACCTAAGAAAGCAAAAGGAGAACAGGAATAGCTGCAGTGAGGCAGCCAGAATCCAGCCTCCTGCACCCTCCTTGTCTGATTGTGCTCGTGTGCAGGGAAGAGAAGCCAAAGGTGCTGGCAGGCCAAAGAAGAAAGCTGACACAAGTTCCTTGCCTTGGGTATTACTCTCTCAAACAAAGCAGATCTCCTCTGAGGTGTCCTAAGAAATCCAGATGGGGTTTAGGCAGAGGTGACTTACAGCCAGAACAGCACAGGTTGGTCACTGGCTTCCTGGTAAAGGTTGATCCAGTGTGATGCCTTGAGTCTGGTAGATCTCCTTCAGAACCAGCAGAACAGTGTCCTCTGACTCCCTGCAGGAGGAGGACACGGGAATCAGAAGGGAATTGATTCCTTCCACTCTGTCAGGACATCTGCTGGGGTAGATGCAGATGCAGGGAGCACAAGGCAAGGAGAAGCACAAGTCTCCCTCTGTCCATGCCCACCCTGTGTCACAGACAGGAGAAGATCTTGTTCCCTTCATCGGCTGAGGCTTTCCTTACTGCACTGGCTTTGAAACTGATGCCATTCTGCTTCCAGCACACGTAAATTTGAAGCCCTGAGCACTACACAGACACTTACCAATAGCAGAGATGCCCCTGGAGTGCAAACAAATACTCGTTGAAGCTCTCTATTGGCTTCTCCTGCAGCACGTAGTCGATGCGGTTCCCTCCGTTCAGCCTCCCCACGTTGATGGGGGCGGTCTCTTCCTTCACTGCTGCTGGGGGCTCCTCTGGCTTTGTGTCTGCAGGGAGGAAGAGCAGCGTGGTTCAGCCACAGGGCACCAGCAGCCATGACAATACAACAGCAGGGCCATTCCCTCCCTTCACCCCTCTGCAGCTCACACAGGGGAGAGGCAGCCAAAGTGCTCAGAAACAGCAGTGCAGGGGTGACAAAATGTGGTGTGGTGTGCTGAGACACCCCCCCCCAGAAAACAGCTTCATCAGGTGCTAACAGGGGAAGGCCACAGCATCTGGGGAGAGCCAGGTGCCTCCACAGCCCAAAGGCAATCCCTTTGCTGGGCAGTGTGGCTGTGGGAGTCCAGGCACACCACGGGCAGCTCCTGAGGCCGCATCCCTGGCTCCCCTGCCCTGTGCACCCCACCACAGACCTGGCTGCTTCTCAGTGCTGGCCTCTGCCTCTGCTTCGGCCTCGGTGCTCCCTGCCTCCAGGGCCGGCACCGGGGCGCGGGTGAAGGACTGCCAGGCCACCCGCAGCGAGCCCAGCAGGTTGTTCTTCAGGTCCACGCTCATGCGGGTCAGCCCTTCCTTCAGCTCTGCAAGGCAGGACGGGGTGGCTGTGGGGCTGGGGCTGCAGCAGCAGCCCTGGGCTGGGGGACAGGGGCTGCCTGTGCCATACCAAGGTGCATCCTCTTCCTGCCCTTGTGGTGGGGCAGCAGCATCGGCTCGAACTCCAGGTCTGGGACGATCATGGGCTCGATCCGATACGCCACCGGGTCAAACTGCACACAAGAGGGGGACAGTGGCCAGGGCTCGTGCTCCACGTGCCTCACGCAGGACAGCTCTGGCTCTTATACCCACGGGGTGGAAGATGTTGAAGAAGCCTTTGCAGGTGGGCAGGCTGTAGTTTGGGTCGATCCGCTTCACTCCTCGCACTGTGAGAAACATCCCAATGGGAGAGCCAAAGGCAAAGAAGATGGTGGGCTTGTAGTTCAGCTGGGGGTAGTTTGCCGAGACCTGGGAGAGGGGGATGTTCACATCGGTTCATGAGACAATCTCTGTGCTGCTGTTACAAGGGCTCTGTGGGTGCAGCCAGAGCTCAGCTGTTACCTGTCCCAAGCCAACGTCCCGGTATTGGCAGCTCCTGACATCCTCTGAGCCGTCCCCATGCTGGGATGGGGACCCTGGCTCGGCTCCACGGTCACTGTGCCCAGGAGCTGCTGAGCTCTGATCCTGCAGCAGCACAAAGGGATCCTTGTGTCAGAGGGATGGAATGGGATGTGATGGCATGAGCACAAGCCATGCAGAAAACAAACCTTCCTCTCTGTCCTGGAGCTGATGTAATGGAGTATTTTCATTCTTGGCCCTAAGGGAATTCCCATTTCTTTAAGGTTTTCCTCTGTGCACAAGAACTGGAAAATAAGCAAGGCTGGTGTTAGTCCAAAAGCAGAAGTGTGGTGAGGTGTCTTTTCTGGGGTTGTGCTCCTCCTCGGAGACGTTTCACGTGTGACTCAGTAATAGAAGATGTGCAGTGCTGGGATGATGGGGAAGAAAAGCAAAGAGTCACAAGTAAAACAGGGCAACTTCTTACCAGTGCTTGCCTGTCCATTTTCTCCTTCTCAAAAACATCACAATACTCAAACAGCTCCAGCTTCTTCAGGATTTCTTTTACTTCCTCAATACCCCCCGTGCTTGAGGTTGCCCTGGAGCCCTGTGAACAGGCCCAGAAGGGATCATGCTTTCTGCTGACCAGTTTGCTCCTGCACATGTTGTTTTCTGTGCCCCATCCCCACGCAGCTGCAGGAGGGAGGGGTCAGTGACCTCCCATACCTGTTCACAGTGCTCGTCCTCCTCGGGATCAGCCTTCTGGTTTGTCAGGAGATCAAACAGAATGAGTGACCCTAGAAACCAGGCATGGGCAGAGATCAGCACATGGAGGGGAAGAGCCCGAGCCACCTCCTTTGTGGGATGGAAGAGCTGCACCCTGGACTTTTTACAGGCAGATAGTGACAGGACAAGGAACAATGGCTTTAAACTGACAGAGTACAGGCTAGATTAGATGTCAGGAAGAAATTATTTCCTCAGTGCTGAAGCAGTGGCACAGGCTGCCCAGAGAAGCTGTGGCTGCCACACTCCTGGAAGCTGGGACAGGGCTTGGAGCAACAGGCTCTAGTGGAAGGTGTTCCTTGTAACCCAAGTTGTGTGGCTGCCCTCCCTGCTCCCCTGGCACGCTGACACCCGCAGGAGTGTGA